ATGCCGACGGGCATCCTCCGAGTCAATAGTCCGCGGAGTTTTTTTGTTTTGTCAAGAACTTTCCACCAGACAGAGAGCTTGCTTCTCCTCCTCCTCATCCTCTCCCTCATCCCGAGGTCCCCTTTCTCCAAACCAGCAAGTCCAAGTTCTGCAGTAAACTAACTACCTACCTACCTATCTACTCCAAGTCCCATGTCTAGGTACATACCCTAGAGATTAGAGCCAAGACTTGATGGTCTCGACATGATCACTCCTCCTTGAGGGGCAGCCGTACGAATAAGCTTCTGCGGCCGGAACTACCAAGTTATTGGGCTTGTCGGCCGTATCCCATACAGACAAGAGACGAGACGGACAAGGCAACTTCTCCGGCCGACCGCAAAATACCTACTCCAGCATCAACCCCTTGAGACGGTGCTCGTTCTTCTTTCATCTCAGCTCATTCGCGAGCTTACCCCGCAATCTACGAGCTACCTGGCCATGCCCGCCACGCTGCCTTCACATGCCCTGCCGAAGACTTGTCAGGTTCCTCTGCTGCCCTGTCTCCTCTATCCGAGCTCGGTCCATTATTAATTTTCGACACATCATCTCAATCCGATACGCTATTCATCCCATATGACAGAAAGCCTGTTCTTATTTCATCAGAACTTGGTTTATTTCCCTTTCATCTCATCTTCCAACGACCCGGCACGTCCTTTTTTCGAAAAGTCCCAAGGCCATCATCTTGCAATCAATCCGTCAGCCAGTCAGTGTTAATCAATCCCTGGTCACTCGCACGCTCCAAAAGAGCCTGCCGAGGTGCAAAAAAGCCTGGCGAGTAGTAAGTAGTAAAGTAGTACACTAGAAGGCTATATAACGGGTCAGATATGCACCTCAATTTTAGCCTGGAAGGCCCGAATTGGCTTGCCACGATTTTAGCCTAGGCCAATCCTCGTTCAGGGCGAGCCTAGGCTGGCAGCTAAAAAGGCAAGGTTATATATGTATACCTTGGAGTGCTAGCTAGGTAGGTAGCCAGGTACCTGCCTTGGTCTCAGTGCTGCTTGTAGTATGTAGTTACATACTGCATAGTAGGTATGTAAGCTTGAGTAGTGCACAGAGCTCATTACATACCATGTACCTGCACACCGGACATGCAGTCTTCTGCTGTGGAGGTAAAATACATAATACATATCCTGTAAGGAAATCCCCTGTCAACCTGTATATTTGTGAGCCACACCAAGCAGCGCCCCGGCTGGCAACAAGGTGCGGCTGCCGCCGATCTGTGCTTTCCCGTGTGCACAGTCTCTGTATTCTGTGCCCTACACCTATTGCTTGCTTTGGAAGAAAGGAAGGGACAAGGCTTTCGATATGTGCGTGTGGTATATCGTATTATGTATGTGTGTGTACAGAGTATGTCCAAGTATTGCTCTTTCTGGACATCCACCCATCACTCTCCAACCAACCAACCATGAAGTTTCTTTCCATCCACCCTAGAGGAAAGAAAACCAACCACCCATTCGACATTCAACCCTCGTTCGTAACCCAACTACAGAATGCACTTCGCATGTATGTGTGTGGTTTGTTTCTCCAAATACCTCAAGGCAAACTGGCCAGTCCGTGCCTCATGAGGTCACTGATCAATCATCTATCAGTTCATGTACATACAACTTGCACTGTTGCGACGAGGGGCCAAACACATATTGAACCTCGTTGAGGTAATATGATTCGATAAGGTAGAGACCATCCCACCGTTGTTGATAGTATTATTATCACCTTGTACACCCACATCGTCTCTCCCTCATGGGTGTCATGCCTGTTGCCCATTGTCCTGGCCGCAACAACGGCATCTGCTCTCGGCTTACTTCACACTGCTACTACACACATCGGAAGCCATATCCTCTTTCGAGGCTGACGTATTTCGTACGTACCTTGGTCTCTGCCATATGCAGACTTTTAATTTTCGATTTTTTTTTATTCTCGTCGTTACGCAGGTTCCAAGTGGAACTCTGTGGACCTACGCGATGACACATCAATTACTCTTCCCACGTGTCGAAGAAGGGACATGATCGGCCATGCACCATTTCCGTCCTTGCCCTGCCTGCTACTTTTTTGGTGTGAAGAAATGGAAACAAAAAAAGAACGCCCGCTCTCTATTCGACGCCAACGCCTGCCCCTACCTACTACAGTCTCGGCCGGGTTCAGCTGTCTACTTAATGATTTTCTTTGCAGCGCTGAAACGAGCCCAGGGGGGCGCCAGACAGGGCCCTCGAATGGAGTCAAAAACCAGCTGTCTGCCGTTTGACTTTGACAAGACTGGTGACCGGTCCCCGCAAAGGACGAGAAGACGCAGAAGCAGCAGGGTGTTTCTCTCTACCTGACACTTTCTAGTCTCTTGACACGTTTTCACGAAACTCTCAACTAGTACGCAAAAAGAGAAGAATACGGTTGAGCCCCAGAATAATCTCATGAGAACCCATGTTGCCATGCTGCAGCTGTCAACGCTATGCATATACTAGATCAACGAGGTCCTGCTATAAGGGGTGACAGGACCCAGATATCCAAACATGCTGCAAATGCGACGCGCGCATTCTGGCTTCTGGCCTCCACTACGGGGTCGCCCCGATTCATCGCGGAAGACGGGAACCGACGGGGGGCTGGCTGCTCTTGTTTCCCACTTCGAGGCCTCGAACACGCGCGCGCGAGCGCAAAAAAAAGATACCTTCTCAACTACAGGTTACTAGTATTGGGTCTGGTCCTTGAAACCAACACGAGGAAGAGTTGCATCGTGCCTATTTTCTTGGTATATGGGGCGTTTCTTCTCGGTGGGCAAGGCAAGCATCACGAAATTGCCATATAGCACGCGTCATAACGGTAACGGTAACGGCCGGGCAAGTGGTGTCTGTCTCTTTTCACGATGCTAAGCCTATACTAACTAATAGCGTTGCTCAATCGATGCAAGTAGTGTACATTACACGGACCTTTTCAGGGCCACAATTAAGACCAGAAATTGTGGAGTTCAAGTCTGGCTGTCTCTGCCCGGGGGGTGTCGGAGAGCAGTCAAGCAGTCCATTGCCAGCAGGGGAAGATTGGGAGACTGCCTCTCTTCGTTCTCGGTCAAGATCGGACTCTGTCCCCAAAAAGTTTCTCTGGGCCGCTGTCAACAACGACTTTCAATAATGCAACTATTTCATCTCCGGGGTCATGTTCTTTTACGAGGCCATGGAATGCTTCAATATCTTCTGTGGACACCTCTAGAACAAAAGCATATATGCAGTAAAGTTGCAAATTCATGCGCAAACCTATTTGCGGCTTAGCCACGGGAGACAAGAGGGGGGGTCAAGAACGGAGGCTCTGCTATTTTCTACACTACGCACAGCCTCCCCGTGCGGAAGGCCGGGGTCTATTGAGTATCGAACTTCGGGAGACGAACTCGCGAAGAAGCCAAATAAGATATTCCCTTCTTCCACAATTGCCCCAGAAAAAAAAAACGAAAACCACCAACGGATGCCCGGATTGTCTGTCCGGACGCGCATCGTGTGGATTCTATAAATCTTCAACGACAACTGGCGGCGCTTTGATCCCCGCAACTAAATATGCCAATTCCGCACTATAACGGAACCAATAAATTTATATTGAATTGCAATCAATAAAATCAATAGACAAGAAAGAAAGGAAAATTCTTTCGTCTGAACTGTTCTTGACAACTATTTACAACATTAGACGTCAATGCGGTGGATACTCTTGGAGATTTGTGACAGTAAGCGGCGCGCTGTCTGTCTTCGTCGTCATCAGACGGCAGATCATAGCACTTTTCCAACGTTTCCTCTCCAAAAAAAAAAAAAAAAAGGCCTCGTAAGCCCGATGTGGACTTGTTTTCCATGGTAGTAGCAAGGAACGAGGACCAGGCAAGGACAACAGAGAGCAATAGTCGGGACTAGCTGGATAGGCTCAAAAAAGCAAAGAAAGTATACTATATTAATTGGCAATTAATATATACCGGTGCAAGCAAAGCACCAAGCACAACCTAGAAAGCTACTAACAACATTTCCTAAATCTTGTTCTTGTAGTGTCGTGTTCTTAACCCCCCAGAACCGGAGATTATGACGTTCGCGGACCATATATCGAAACGCTATGCTGCGATATCAGACAAACTCAGCCTCACTGCCTCATTATGCCCTTTTCCAAAACGTCTTGAATGTATTTCCGCGCATACGTAAGTAGATCTGCTACTTTGTCCTGTCGGCCCGGGCTCCCCCTGGCACCTCTTCTCTTTTCGTCAAAAAAGGGCAAGGGATCTTCCAAAAGGGAGTTGAACAGATGCTTGACATGGCAATTCTCATTGCCAAAACAGCATTCATTTTGTCATCTATCATGCCATAATGCCAGTCCAGCCCACAAGCCGTTCATGATAATGGGGCACGTCAAAAAAATTTGGTTCATGGGATTTCTCAAGCACCCCTAGGTTTTACCAGGGGCGGGTTCTTAATTATTTTCCGCCGCACAGCAGAACTAGAACCTTCCGGACAGTCCCCCAGTGAATGGAGTCGCAACTCACCAAATCCAAGTGTGTTTCCAGGGGCGAGGAGCAAGAAACAACACAAGGGGTAGAGAGAGAAAAAGGTACAATGGATACAATTATGAGGACCACGGTGCATCAGTATCTGGTTCGTGACAGCACTGACAGTTGCCGCTAAGCGGGCCAATGTCACGTCGAGGGGGCGAGGAGGGAGGAGGGGGCCCAACGGTCTCCATCGCTACCAGACTTGCTTGATTCTTGGTGCTGGCCCTCTTGGAAACAGAGTAGAGGGAAACCCAGGCATTTTTCGCTCAATCTCTCACCTGTCACGTTTGGCTTATGGTGGAATTTGCAGTAGCTACCTGTCTATCAGATGCAAAAAATAGGGACGACTCCTTAGAAGTCTGGCCCTTTCCCAAGCTTGCCCCCCAATGGCCCGTTGCTGTTTTGGGTATCGCTATTCCCAAGATATCGAAAATGTACCGCAGAATCAAGACTGATACATTCCCTAATCGTCCTCATCGCCGCTGTCGCCCTCGAGTAGTAAATGCTCCTGATCGTTGAGGGCCAACTCGATGAAGTGGCGTACCCAAACCTCGTCTGCCTGGTTCAGTTCCATCGCTTCGCCTTCGTGCTCAATATTGTGATCATCATTGCGACCAGCACGATTCCCGCGTTGATTCTGTCCACGTGCTCGATTACCACCGGCGCCCGGCCGTCCTCCTCTATTGCCTCCTCTACCGCGTCCGCGTTGCCCAGCACCATTCACCGCCTGGTTGCCGCCACGCGCTGCTGGGGGCGCTTGCTGGCGTCCTGGTCTCCCACGAGCCGGTGGCGCATCTCCCTCTATCCGTAATACCAAGGGGCCTTCTCGTGCAACGGCAACCCCCCCCCCGGGCTGGATGCCTTGTGGCTGGTCTTGGCCCTGCTGATGTTGCTCTGCAACCGGGTTTCTTCCTCTGTCGATTTCCAATTCTGGTTCCTGGCGATGTACATCTCCAACAATCTCCAAGTGCTGACCGTATTCGCCGGGTTGAATATTTGGGTTTCTGATGGCGTTCCCACCCTGATAGGCGATGCCAACATCGTTTCCATCTCCGCCTTCCAGCTCCCAGAGCCTCATGTAGCAGCTATTGACTTCACCACCGGGTTGAGTATTAAAGTGCTGGTAAGGATTCTCGGGGTTGAGCCAAGCACTGCATAGATAACAGAAGTGAGACTGGCACCTAAAGCATCGCATGTGATTACAACCTTGAGTCTTTTGGCAAGGTGCAGCGCAGGTCGGACATGGTGTAGTATGCATCCTCAGGTACTCGAGTGATGCCTTTTCCTCCTCGGTGATCTCCTCTTTGCGTTCCTTGGGTATACAGTACTTGAATTCGCCATGCCACGACTGACCGCAGCGAGAACAAAAGGCAAACCCACAATCTTCGCAGATGGCAAGAAGTTCCTTGCTGGCGGAAAACTTGGCCCTCTTTGCTGGATCTTTGTCACCGCCTCCCTCGATTTCATCCTCGGAATCATCGTCGGAGCTTTCAGCAAAGTCCAACCCTTCAGGCTTCTTGTGTTTTTTAGACCGTGCCGCACCCTGACACCAAGGTCGAGGACAGTACACGGTATTCTTGTCAGACTCGAGCTCAGCTTTATGCTTGAGCGCAACGTAGCGTTTGACCATATCCTGCTCTATGGGAATCTGAAGAAGTTCACTTGGACTGATATAAGCCTTGAACTTTCTGGACTTGCCTGGATTGGCCTGCCGTGCGGCCTTTTCGCGTTCACTGGCACAGCCGGGCTCCAGGCATTGGACCGAAACGATGTCTCCTTCGGTGATTGCGTTGTTGTAAAAGTCCTGAAGACACTGAACGCAGAATACATGGCCGCAATCGAGCATTCTGTGGCAAGCCAGGCCCTTTTTCGGATCCAGGCATATACCACAGTCAAATGTGCTTCGTTGAAAAGTCCTCTTCTTAGCCTCTAGATCGTAGTCCAGAATGGCGATCTTGTGTTCTGGTCCAACCTCGAGTGTACTTTCTTGGTCCACCAGACCGAAGACATCGTCAACCGATTGCTGGACGTCATCGACATAAGTAAAGATGACCTGATCACGGCCCATATCCTCCCATAATTCCTCAACTCGACCCTCGAGCCTTTTGACGATGTGAGCCGGTAGCCAAGGCGGGGACGTTGAAATCTTGATCGCAGGAGGTTTGTTTTCTGGATAACCCTCTGGTAAGGTAACGTAAATTTGCAACGACGGCAGGTTCAACAGCTGCTGAGAGTCAACCTGAGGCACTGCCCGAGCGACCGCATCTTCCGGGCCAGGAATGAGAGGGACAGCCTCTGCAGGTGCTGGAAATTTAACAGTCAAAGGTCGGCTGAGACTCAGGGAAAGTTCTATCGTGAAAGAATAAGGGTCCTTCTCATCAAGCTTGAGCTCCTCGTGATAGATGGCAGTTATGGACGAAAGCTCGATGGCACGAGCATCTTCGTCATCCATATTGAAGGTTGGGTCTGTGTTACCGACTCATGAAGATCGTGAGGTTGAAATTTCCGTGCTGTTGAGCAGTACGATCTGGTGTAGCAAGTACCTCCGGCGAATATTTATATTGCCAAAGATAACGTTGGAGAACAATGCGATCGTGTGCCTTTCTCTGTTGACCCAATCAAACAAAGTCTTGTCAGAATCCCATTATCTCTCTTCGGCTAAAGTGCTTATCCTCGATAAAATTTGAAATTTTGAAATGAAAAGTCTTGTGGTATCATGAAAGCAGTCGTCGTTTCGTCGTTGTCGTCTTCTCTGGGCCTGGTGGCGGAATTGGTCATCGATAGGCGGGAGCTAGTCATAAGAAAATGCCCACGCCACGCCGCCTTTTTCCCAATTGCGGAGGGGCAAGGCAAGCTACCCAATGCAATGTTGGCCGAATCAAATGAGGATGACCGCTTGGAGATGGATGACTCTATCGGTGTCCCTCGGAGCACAGCCTAACAGGATTCACCGATTCTAAAGAAGTGGAACTCTGCATCTCGTGTGTAAGAACCAAAGGAGCTTTCTTCTTCTTCTGTTAATCACATTCAAAAGATATCTTCGTCTGCCGGAGAATTGGGATCGTAATTCACAGCCAAGCGATCAAGAAATGATGGCGAGCGTGTCATTCGCGAACTGGCGGGGCAGCAGCTAGAGCCTATGAAAAGCCGACTCAACTGCCTTGTAGGCAACGTAGAGGTAGGGAGAGGCTCGGCGTAAGCGGGCAGCTGTCGGTCGCAAAATGGACCTGGTAACACTAATTTTTTGGGCACATCACTTGTAGTCTGGGAGCCTCCTTCTACGGCTAGCCAGCACACCGAGTCGTCCGCTTGGTTGCGACAGGACAATTCACGAAGACGCATCCACGAGTCGTCGCTCTAGCTTCAGTCTTTAACAGAGGAATCATTTATAACGAGAGTTCTTGTCGGATCGAGCCCTCTAGGCACCTCACAGCCGCCTGGACGAGCATCCGAACGCCTGCGTGTCCAGTACTGACATCATCCACCCGACACGAACTCGATTACTTTTCCCAAGCACAACGACAACATGTCCGACGACTCGGCGCCATTGGCGTCCTTTTCTCTCACACATGTGCACTATGTGAGCTGAACCTAATCTGCTCTCTCGAAATGCATGCTGGCCAAGGCTAATGGCTTTATCGCTTTAGGACCCCAACGATCCCGTCTCTTACCTATGCGCGTTCCTTGCTCTAGTCCCACAAGGTCTATGTGTCGTCTACGCGACCCTGATATGGTCGACACGCGAGGTCGAGATTGGTCTCATGTTTGCCGGTCAACTGGCCTGCGAGGCTTTGAACTTTGCCCTGAAGCGTCTGATCAAGGAGGAACGACCGAGACGAATGAATGGGAAGGGCTACGGGATGCCGAGCAGTCACGCGCAGTTTGTGGCCTTCTTCGCCGTTAGTTTGACGTTGTTCCTCGTCTTCAGACATAAGCCAGCATATCACAACCGCAGAAGAAACCACACTGGGTTGACTATGGTCGAGAGAGTGTTTTGGAGTGTGATGGGACTGGGCATGGCTGCCGCCGTGGCCTGGAGCAGGATCTACTTGAACTACCACACGCAAAAGCAAGTTTTGGTTGGAAGTGCCGCGGGCACAGTCAGTGCCATTGCCTGGTTTGTTCTCACTACTATCCTAAGGAGGACTGGCTGGCTCTCCTGGGGTATCTCGCACCCGATTGCCCAGTTCTTCAGAGTCAGAGACTTGGTGGTGGAAGAAGACTTGTGCCAAGCAGGATGGGAGAAATGGGATGACAAAATGGAGCTGTTGAAAGCTCGCGAGAAGAAGACATCGTGATGATGGCCAAGAACAGCTGAGAGACATACAACAAGGGGCCTGCCAAGAGAGATACCCAAGGGCCATGCATCTGCATTAGACAGGAGTTCAGGCTACACATTTAAGAAATCTAAAAATGTAGGGAAATAATACAATTGTGCTGAACAAGGGACGTATATTGACATTGATTGACAAGTGGTGGCTTGCCTTGTCAATGAATGATCGTATCCTGTCATTTGCTGATTGAGTGTCCTGAATCCTTGAACATAATTATTCAGACAGGAGGAAATGCATTCCTCTACAGAGTACATGATGATTCATAATGTGCATGTATATGCCCGTTGGATTTCTGCAAGCAGAACCTGTTGGTCGTGACTTGCAACTTTAATAGTTGATACTGCCCCGCTACTGCGCACCGAAGCCCCTGACCCTTTCCTTTAGTCAGGACTCCAGTCCCAAGCTATCGATAGCTGCACCATGTAACCTTAGCTCAACAGAGCGAGCTGCCAAACTCCAGCAACAATCATAGACACAGCAACTCGCTCAATATGCGCATCAGTGTCTAGCTGTATTCTTTACTAGAATCACCACACTGGCTTTGGACCCTGTACTGGACTTCATTGCACTATTTGTTCTTGTTTCTTGCTCGGAAGCGCCTAGCACGTGCCTGGGCTGCGGATATGCGTTCACCTTGACCATCGACCACGCAGAATCTCCACCAAAAGCCAGCTGTATGCGACGCTAACTGGTCACCATCATGAACTCGCTGTGGTCGAAGGCCGCGCCCGAGGGCGAGCCTCAGACGGGTCCGTCCGAGCCTGAGGACCTCGCCGACACTGGAGTCACTGCAGAGGATGCAGGAGAGGCGTCCACCGCTGCCAGCAGCTCTGTCAATACCAATGCCAGCAACGTCCTGTCTCTGCGGCCCAATCTGCAGCGCAACTCGAGCACTCCCGGCCTGCCACCGCCCCCGAACGATCCTCCTGCTCCCCCGTCACAGCTACAGTCCCAATCTGACCAGCAATTGGACTCGCTATCCCTCGCGCAGCTCAGAAAATACGTCTCTGAATTTCCCAAGAATAACGAGGCGGCCATTGCCTACGATTTCGTCTACGAAGATACTGGTCCCCATGCGGAGGAGATTGATGAATGGTTCGTGTATGGGCAATTCTGGCAGTGGGTGCGCCTCAATGGAAGCCAACGTATCTGGGAGATGGGTTGGGAAGAGTTTGGCGGTGGGCAAGATTGGAACGAGGCAGATCAAGACACCAAAGCCGATTTTGTGCGAAAGTGGCTCGTCGGTATCCAGGACGGGGACGATGTCACCAGGGTTCACGCTATTGGTAGGATCATGTATCTGATCTTGGGGCGATGGATAGAGACTGCGCAGCCCGGTCCCTTTGGCGACAGCGAAAATATGCCGGAAAGGCTGAAGGGCAGAAGCGTTGCTACGCAAGGACAGTTGTTGGCAATGAAGGAGGGCGTGGAGCTGATAGCTCAAGTTGGTGGTCTGCCCATCATTTGGCAGGCGTTACAGCATGCATTGGAGGCGTTGTGGTATGTCCTTTGAACAACATCACTGCCGTACTGCTAGTAGTATACTGACTTGAGACAGGACATTGGATCCAACAAAACACCAATCAGAAGGGTCTCAAGAGGCCCAAGATGAGCTTATGAATTTGATGACAATCATGTATATTACGATACAGGAGGTTCTGGGCAGTGGCGAGGAGATGGCAGAAGTTCGCGACAAGCTTCGTAGGTACTCGTTTCTGGTTTCTTCATCGATGAAGCTAATTGCCTGCCTTAGTCGAATTGAACCCAAACATTGCAGTTTTCATGCTTAACTCGGTCGCCAAGATTCGCTGGCTCGACGGAGTACCAACTTCAATGACTCAAGTAGGATTCCAGTCTCTGGTCTGAGATATTTTGACTAACAAGTAACAGATACTCTTGCTGTTCTGGAAGTCCATATTACTGGTATTTGGCGGTATGGATGCGATCGTTGAGACCAAGGGGGCCCTTGGCGAGGCGCCCGCAAGTGCCAAGGATAAAGACACCATTTCTGCATCCCCATTAGATTATCACACTTTCCGCCAGGAGATATCTTCAAAGTACCCCTCCTATGTTCCGCCACAATTACCGATTTCCTTGGAGCCTGACGACACCTCACTCCTGCCACCTTTGCCAAATCACCCGACGCGAAACAATGGATCGAACGGAATATTACCCGCGCCTCCAAACACGCAAAGCGGAGGTGCTTCTATTCTACACCAGCCGGTTCATATTGCAACGCCGGCCCCTTCGCCGCCTCCATCCCCCGCGGCTGGTGGTAAGGGTGGCAAGAAGCAGAACTACCAGACTAATCAAAATTTCCCCTTCATGTATCCTCCTCTCGATGAAAGCAGCAACAGCGCAGGCGGAAAAGGCGGAGCTGGTCTACAGGAGTCCCTGGTGGGCCGAAAATGGGAAGGCAGTGATATACCTGCTTCGATTCTAGAGGCTGGAGAGCTCTTCTCCAAACGGGTTCGGATGACGCGAGCAGTACGTCAATTGTGGGAGGAGCGACAGAGATTCCTGAAATTCGAGAGGGGCTTTGATGTGTCTGTAGACGACGACGTCGACGAACTTGAACTTGACCTTGACGCACTCGAGGTAGGTCCTGACAACGAGGTTGATGACGACAAACTGCTCGCTCTTATCGAGAAGAGAACTGCAACTACAAGATCGAAAGAGGTCGACTATGGCCCGGATCCCGACAACCTTGACTCGAAATTCAAACATCGCTTAGATGCTATTGAGAACTTTTATGTGAGTTGATCAGTGACCCTGGTTTTTATAGCTGAGGTGCTAATTACGAGTAGGATGCCACGCTACCACAGTTGCAATCTATCGTCATTGTCCTAATGAGGGTCGTGCTGGCCAACGTGACTGCTTTCATCACCATGCCTCAACGAGGGCAGGATGGTCAACAGAACCAAGGGCGCTTCAATCAAAGCGGGGCACCCTTTTCTCGGTCTCAGGATGGCATAGGTGTCAATGGCGCCATTGCTCCAGATGCCCCCGATATGTCTCTTGAGGACTTGGATCAAGTCAGGGCACGTGAGTTGGAGGGCAAAGCACTATCAGGTGCCATCTTGCTGCTCTTGAAGTGGTTCAAGGTATCTCGTAAGTTCATCTCAGGCCCCTTCTGGACTGAACTCAGGAATCTGACCATTTCCAGACGTCCTCAAGTTTGAGTATTTGTGCCAACTGCTTCTCGACTCCAACTATATCCCCCTCGTGCTTAAATTCTTCGCACATCAAGATGTCCAACAGGTGGTTGACAGTAAGACTGATCGCACGGACCACAGTTTCTTTTATTTCTGTAACCTCCGTGCTCGTGGTAATGGTGACAAGCCAATGGAGCCCACGGAAATCGATGGCCCAGACGATGAGAGCGAGGACGATGCGGCGCCGCCTCCTATTAAGCGCAAGAAGTCGCCGCCAGCAGCGTCTTCGTCGACTGAGGAGCAAGGAGCAAAGATGAACAATCATGCCCATGAACGACCAGAAGTTGACGAGATGGGGCAGCCAATAAATGACCTACCTAAGGAGCCCATTACAGACTTCTCCCGTCGCAACTTCTTCTCCTTGATCAACTACTTGCGAATTCTGCAGAAGATATGCAAGAACAAGGCCCACCGCAACTTGCTCTTGGTGCAGTACAAATCTTCCAACATTATCAAAAAGTCACTCAAAGTCCCTCAAGCCGAGCTTCGGCTATACGCACTCAAGCTTTTCAAGAATCAAGTGCCATACTGCGGGCGTAAGTGGCGCCAGTCCAACATGCGAGTCATCACGGCAATTTATCTGCACTGCCGTCCCGAGCTGAGAGATGAATGGCTCGCCGGTAGTGACGTTGATGCCGAGGTAGAGGAAGCGCTGCCCTTGGAACAGGCGCTGAGGAGCTTGACACATTGGCACAATGTCCAGAGACATCCAGATCAAATGGCACCGGAGGTGAGACAAGCGCTTCAACAGGAGCAAGACTTTTTCAAGAGAGAGCTGGAGAAGTTGGAAATCAACTGGGCAGATACGAATGCACAAGTCGACGGTGGAGATGGCATGTGGGATGGTCAGGCCCCAATGAGCGCTGCTGGATGGGCCTAGAATTCCGTCGAGCAGACTTACAGCTGGTGTGGGCGATGATATAAACTTTGTGTGGAGGCGCCCAACCGAGGTTCAATTATTGTTGATATCCATGAGATGAGAAAGCAGTGTCGCCTGCAAGTCTCGCCCGCGACATGAGATCATGACGTGGGTTGTGAGCCATGATCAGTATCTTTATCAAGTGCCAAGAGCACATTAGTATACAATACTTGCTTTGTGCAAGTGGCATTGCAGGGTATACAGGTAGAGTCTATTCAGCTGTGCCAGATTATATACAAAAATCCTGAAAACTCAAGGCTGGGTTGTTTGATAACGAAATTGCAGGACTGTATGTAAACTCATCAGCAATGATGTTCCACGAATTTTAACATGCAAATGTTGGTTTTTAGGGGGGGAAACGATGTCATCTTTTTGAACTGTTTGACTTGATTTCTTTTCCTTATTGGACTGCCTAGGCTACTACTGGTATCTGGTATCATAATCCTCCTCCCAGCACGTTATTCAGAGCACATTTCCCAAAGAGACCACCCCTTCCTTTTTATTCGCCCAGAACATTTCAGTCATATTTTGCTCTTGTTTTTCCTCCATTCCCCTCAGCTAAATTCGTACATATTTATACACAAAATCCCCTAGACCCGACGACCCCCAAAACTGTATAGTGTATAATAAGTACCCGATAGGAGAGAGAGGAAGAAAAATATGGAGACATAAAAGAGGGAAAAGAGTATATGAAAAAATGGATAAGAAAAAAGAATAATGAGTCTTCTTCTTCTTCTTTGACGCCGGAAATCATGCTCCATGTCTTTGACTATAATGACTGGCCAACCTCTTGAGTAGGTAAGATAATTAAACAATGAAGAAGTGACGGGCGTGTCTTTATGTGAGACGTCCATGTATTTGTGAATGGACAGACTCGGCAACATCACCCGTCGTGTAAATATATCGAATCGAAATTGAGAGCATTCTCCGACCCCGCATAGACTTGGTTTCTAGTGATGAGACTAGATCCAGTCGCCCCTGGGTTGCGTGACATCAGAGTTGCCACGGCTCCGGGTCATGGGAGGCGGCGTCCGCGTGGACATTTGGAGCGGCGTTGTGTTGGTCCGCTTCGGGCTCGGGAACTGGAAGCCGACGCCCTTGGGACTCGGCACCTTTTTGCTAGGGCTCTCGGGGCGGTAGACGGCAGCGCTCAGGATGGGCGTGTCGTCGAATTGTTGGCGGCTGTTCTCAATGTTGGTATTGATGCGGTTGATTGGCCGCGGGACTGGAGGCAAAGTCTTCATCCTGCTGTCCTTGGTAGTTGGATCCCGCGACGGCGTGGCGCTGACGGGGCTGGCGGGTTCCGAGGGCCAGACCGGCTCATCCGTCGTTGCAAAGGCGGCCAGAGGGCTTGGTCGGATCGCCTTGGGGCAGTCCAGGTTGTGTACCTGCTCGGCATTCTTCACAATGGAGCTCGCCATGGGTGGCATGTCGGCTACGTTGGAGAAGCGGAGTCCGATCTGGACAGTGGCAGACGATGCCATGGACGAGTTGCGCATGTGGCGGTTCTTGATGGATGGCGGTGGTTTTAATGTGTTGTTGTCAAAGTCTTCGAATCGACTAATATTGTTGTTGTTCTCAATGGGCGAATAAGTCGTAGGAGGTAGGATTGTTATTGAAGCCGTGTTGTTGGCCATGTTTGTGTTTGGGAAAAGTGAGTATGATGTAGATGGCCTTCGCTTAGGGAAGCCGGTTGAAGGAGCGGCTGGTGTTGGCAACTCGACTGGCTCAGGGACTCTTGGTATCGAGGTTGTTGGGAATACACCGTTGGACATGACTGGCTTGGGACTATAGCCATATGTCCTTGTGGATCGAGACTCAATCGCATCTTCTTCATCCTTTTCATATCGTTTCACGAGTGTCTCTTCACTGTCGACCCGGCGCAGGGACTTGGATCCCGAGACGGACTGCAGCGCGTGACTCGTGAAATCATATTCCGGATCTGCTTTCCGGATCTTGTGCTTGAGTTGTTGTCTCTCGTACTCCGCCATCTTGTCTCTTGGTCCGATAGTGGAAATGATGTTTGAACGAAAGAAGAGATGAAGACCACCGTTCATGAGTCCAGAGACATTGACGACCACTGTGGCGATCATGGACAGTGTGAGTCCGCTGGTACCTTCGCTGTCACCGAAATTGCTAAAGGTGAGATAAATGAAGAAGGGTACCACCAAAACCTATGCATGGTTAGCTCCGAGTCCTGTATGAGTAGAGAGACTAATATGGAACAAACATCAGAAACGATGGCTACCGAGAGAAAGTAGACCATGCGTGACGCTTCGACTCTTTCGCTTGTCTCAATAGTGGAGTGCCTCGTCAACTTGAGAAAGATGGTGATGGCGCATCCGATGAGCACTACAGACATAAAGGTAAAGAGCGCAAAACCACCCTCGGCCCATTTGGCGACGAACCAGAACAGGGAAGCAAAGCAGAAATCTGCAGAAGGAACGAAGAAAGTGATTAATCCCATGACCAGAAGGAGCGTCGTCCAGACTGCGAAGCAAATGGCGACTGTCCATTTTCCTCGCTTTGGGAATGGTTTGGTTCGGAGACCACGGAATGTCAGTTCAAGCCCAAAAATGAGCTGCAAGAAAGGAACGATGAATATCCCTGCAAAGCTGGTTAGATGTTGACTCGGCTCCAATGAATTCATAACATGCTTACCTGGTAGCATGAAGGACGATATCAGGGAACAGCCCGAAGCAAATAGTCCATCTAATCCACGCGACTGGGAAACTGCAAATATTATGCCCTGGATCGTAATGGCTAATGACAGTATGAAAGGATATGTCTCAGCGCCCGTGACGCAATTCCAGACGCGCACTCTGTGAAAAGGTTCTATCAGTCGATCGTTCGAATAATTCGTTGAGAGACTTTGATCTTTGCTACTCACGGTTTGCCCCGCGGGCTATTCCGCTTGGCCCTCTGATAGCAGTCGTACAGGATGCCCATGGCAGTGGCAAAGGCTGCAATGGTGTTGAAGACGGCGAGGATAATGGCGGAATTCCGTATCGATTTGGCAGCCAGAAACTTGAGTTGGTTGATGACCTGGTACGTCGAGTTGCTGCTCGAGGCCTGCAGCAGGCTGCTCGATGATGTGTTGGACATGCTCATGTTCATGGCGTAGGCGCTGCCGGCTGAGTAACCGCTGCCAATGCTCTCAGATCCAGACATCTTTCCTTTATGTTGGTGACGACGAACGAACCCTCGGCAAATGGCCAGTGCCTATACTCTTCCGGTCGTGATCATCTAGTTCTCTAGTCCATAGATGTTCTTTATTCTCGATGCGGTATTGTGGGTGGCAAAATGGAAATATGGCGAAGCAGGAGTGGATATTGGTTGGGCTTGGGTGGGTAAAGAGAAGAAAGCAGACGACAAGACCAAAGAAGATTCAGAGAAAAAAAGATTGGATTTGGCCACATTCAGATTCCAGATCACGGATGGCAGACCAGACGAAACAGACCCTGAACCGGCAGAATGGCGAAAATGGAAGAATAGAGTAAGAGTAGTAGATCAAAAAAAAGGATAGTAGCCAGTACAATTCAGAAACGAAAGACACAGCAAACCAACTTTTGATGGATGCTGGGATTAGCAGTAGGAAAGACACACACCAGGCCGCAGTCCTGTTCCAGAGGAGGCGGGAGGGAGAAAATCAAAAAAGAAAGATGCATGAAGACATTGGTGATCATAGAGATGATATCCCAGATGACATACCAGATGTGCAGAGAGACGAGAGGCCATGTTCCATGCCACCCACCTACCATGCCCAGGCCAGGCCCATGTACAAGACCAGTTGAGGCCCTGGACCATGTGCCAAGCGAATGGAATGACCCCCGCGCGGGCTCGAGGTCGTCCGGCCTCGCCTTTGGAGCTAGGCCTGCAGGTCGACCCAGTTTGCAACCATTATCTGGCGTGGTTAAGCGGAGAGAAGAAACGAGCATGGGTTTGGTTGGAGTGGATATTGTAGGTAGCTCTGTAGGATAGGTACGCGTTCTTCATGGTGGTGGCAGTCGAAGCACCAGTAGAACTAAGATGGATCGTGGGAAGTGGGTTTCAAAGAAGCTCGAAATAGCCACAACCAACTAGTTCAACCGGTTGATAGTCCTCCTCCACCCGTCAAAGCTCTGTGATGAACATTGAACAAGGCGTGAGGAATCTTGCTGATCCTGGAGCCAGCCATACAATCCTCAGTGGGTAGATAGAATGGATACATGTCTTTTCACGTAAAGACGCATACATGTCATGGTAGACAAGAAACGAGAATGGATACATGCCATTAACGACTACCAATACAAACCCCGGGCATGTGCGTACTGTACCTAGGGTGCGGCCATTCGTCCGCTGCTTCGTTTACGTGCGCTCTGTAGTATTTTGTGCCTGGCAGGATGAGTTTCCGAGTATGGTGGAGTTTGAGTCTCAGGTTGTGCCAGGCCAGCAGCACGATACCTAGAGTCGACAGACAGACAAACACAAAATCGAATCCAGCCCTTCGCGGAGAGCGGAGAAAAAACGTGGGTGACGGTACCAAGTGCAATGCCCTGGACGCAGTAACGTCTTGCGAGGCCAGAGACAGCAAAAGCAGCAGCAGCAGCAGCAGCAGCAGCAGCAGCATTGTGTGGCAATGGGGGTTGAGGCAGAGCTGGAACACCATCGGGTTTCGTCGTCCAGGAAAAGCTATGGGTAGGTGCGAGTAGGTGCTACTAAGCTATGACGATAAGGTTGGGGAGTTGAGCCGCAAGGGGTCGCGCCATACCTGAACTGGCTTAGCTTAACGCCAACCCCCGCGTCCCGGACGAGCATCAAACGTCCCTGGACACAGACCCTGGTCAAATGTCATGTCAGGGGTCTTTGGACACATAGATTCTAGTATCTTCACCTTTTCCTCCCCCTCCCCTCCCCCTACATGCCTAGATCCTGCATACAGAATGCTACCCAAACTCTAACCATTACATACACACATCCAACGGGTTCAAGGCGTCTTTTGCGTCCAACTGTCTATAGGTAGGTCGCCAACCTTGCTAATTGTAACGGTCTTGCATTCGTTCGTCCATCAATCACCTGCATATTGTATTAGATGACGGTTCTGTACGACCTGGTTCCTGCAGGCAAGGCAAGGAAATGCCCCGATCAAGCTTCATGTTCCGATGACGTCTGGAGCTTGAGAGAAGCACCATGATGCCTCCCGAGTTGTGGTTTCTTTCCATTGGCATATTCGAGCCAACGGCGAACCCAAACAGCTTCAGAGCACAGTATGACCACTAGTCCGTGGATCAGCGAACCAATCGCATATTTTTGTTCAATAGTGTATGAGTGCTTCGAAACAACCAATGGATGCCACTAACTTGGAACCAAAAAAGCTGAGTTCCAAACCATGGGACACTGGTCTAGTCTGTCATTCGATATCCCGCTCAGGGTTGTCGAGGTTCCTCGCCACTATACCACAACCGTCGTCATCGTCCGACTACATCGGGCGGGACCACCAGTAGCAGAGTGTCACTGCGGCCCAAGCTCTATCGCCATCGTTTATTGTGATGATGGTGGTGGTGGCGGCGGCGGGTTATGCTTCGCAACAAGACCATGGACCGATGCGCAAGAAACATCTCGTCCTCTTTAGAAAATGAGGGGCTGGTCCTACGTCTAGTACATACTACACCTCGAGTGGCTACCTCCTGATGTGCTTAGAGTCTCAAGTGCATGAAGTGCTCGGACGCTTTCCTCTGTGGAAGCATTGAGATACCCTGTCGACGAACTAGGGGATTGGATATCTTGAGACGAAGGATCTGGGAGTGGCTTCGGTACCTTCTCTGTGCCGAATCCCATCACTCCTCGACTTGTTAGATATAACATTACAGAAGGAAACCTCATTACTCGATCCTGTGCCCGTCAATGAATCTTCAAAAGAGGGAAACGAAAACCTCAATGTGAGTATATCGAAAACATGATCATCAGGTCTTCTGATCGGGCCATCGGTCAGCCTGCATGGCCCGGCCAGTTGTTCAGGCCAACATTAGTCTGAAAATTAGAAACCTGATGTTTTTTGGAATTCTGGAAAAGTTCTAGTCGGCCCCTCGAGGAGGCCTCGCCCGCCCCAACATGGGTTGTCCCGGAGAGCCCACTCACACCAAAGTCCAGGTGCATGAGCCTTGCCGATATTGAGGCACCCCTCCTCGGGACCAATTAGGTGTTGGCATCATATCTCCAAACCATACTATGTACACTAGAGCTTGGGAAAGAAAACCCCCGGATTAAAGCCAACACGGGACATGGGAAACCATGGGACATCTGAACCATACCGTAGGACCCTTGGTGCCCAGGCAGACACAGCATACACACATGCCGGCCCTGGTCTCGCCTCTTCTTCCTCTTCTTCTTCACGGCTCCTACGGCATGGCATAAAAGAGCTCAGCCATATCTCTAGAGCTAGTGGAAGTTGGTGGGCCCGAGATGAAGGGATGGCTACCTACATGATAGAGCTCGGGTAAGTCGGGTGAGATCGTATTGCTCTCTCTGCCGGACACGCTCCGCATCGGGATCGTGACCATCCTGTGGAAAGAGTCTACTGATAAGCTTAACTGCGCCTCAGAGGAGTTTGGTTTCTTTGAAGATGGTTATTGAAGGCAGGAGCAACTGCCTGTAAAAACTTGGCAAGTGATCTATAACTTTGAAGTCTTGGTACCAATTTCGAGTAGTACATGCGTGGCTTCGTGCTACATAAAATCAAGTCTGACTCGAGATCATCTGAACTACTGTGTAGAACAGACAGTAGCCCTCCTACTTGGCGTTCTACGAAATGTTCGTCCTTAGTCGGTGGCTAGACCCTAGCAAATACGGACTCATAATTGCAACCGATTGTCTCTTCAGTGGGATTTCAATTACGCAGATAATATTCCACATGTATTATAATGATGTAGTGCCAAGTGCCAAGTCCTATGGCCCGTTCAATCATTCGATCCAGACGTCAGAGTAGCACAAGTTCGCTACCGGATAGCCACGGGAAAAGCGCCTGTCAGAATTCTTTTATTCTCCGCAGAATAAATGAAATTTGAGAGGGATGAAAAACTTCCGAGGAGAAAATAAAACCTCACGCGTGGTTTGGGTTGTGGGCTGGGTTCAAGGGGAGAGGGGGGAGGGGGGAAAAAACGGACGAGCAGGAGAAAAGGTAGGCGTCGTAATCTATACTCGGTTCCTGCCGA